CTCAGGTGATCTGCCCACCTTGGCCGCCCAAAGTGCTGGAATTACAGGCATGAGCCACCATGCCCGGCCAGTTTACTAGTCTTAAAAGAAAACAGAGGGAGATTTATTTATAACCCAGGAGTGAGAAATTTTTTATCTATTTAGGACTCAAAAGCCACAAATAATGAAAGAAAATCTTAATAAATTCAACTATATAAAAATTAAAGTGAAATTTTTAGAAAGCTTTTTAGCTTCATAAGCAAAATTTTATTTAAAAAAAGACAAATGAGGAAAAAATATTTGTAATTTACAGATGAGGGCCAATTTCGCTAATATTAAAGGAGTTCTTAAAAACAGAAATGAAAAAGCCAAAAATGTGATTTTAAGACAGACAAAGACCATGAGCAGATAGTTTACAGAAAAAGAACTGCAATCCTTCTGAACACGTAAAATGTCCTTTTTTTTTTTTTAAGAGACCGAGCCTCTCACTCTGTTGGCCAGGCTGGAATGCGGTGGTTCAATCTTGCCTCACTGCAACCTCTGCCTCCTGAGTTCAAGCTGCCCCAGCCTCCTGAGTAGCTGGGTTACAGGCGTGCACACCACGCCTGGCTAATTTTTTGTATTTTTAGTAGAGATGAGGTTTCACCATGTCGGCCAGGCTAGTCTGGAACTCCTGACCTCAGGTGATCCACCCACCTTGGCCTCCCACCATGTCCAGCCTAAGATGTCCATTCTTTTTTTTGAGATGGAGTCTCGCTCTGTCACCCAGGCTGGAGTGCAGTGGCACGATCTCAGCTCACTGCAACCTCTGTCTCCCGGGTTCAAGCGATTTTCCTGTCTTAGCCTCCTGAATAGCTGGGACTGCAGGCACATGCCACCACACCCGACTAATTTCTGTAATTTTAGTAGAGAGAGGGTTTCACCATGTTGGCCATGCTGGTCTCGAACTCCTGACCTCCTGTGATTCATCTGCCTCAGCCTCCCAAAGTGCTAGGATTACGGGAGTGAGCCACCACACCCGGACAAGATGCTCATTCTTAATCATAATAAGAGACAAGAAAGTTATTTGAGAGACTTTCTCATCTATCATCAGATTAACCAAAATCCAAAAACTTGACAGCACCCTCTGGGACAAGGGAAATCTGAATATGGACTGGACATTAGGTGATATTATGGAATTGCTAACTTTGTTGGGTGCCTAGAAGAATGTCTTGTTCTTAAGAGATGCAAGCTAAAATATTTAGCAGAGAAGGGTCACGATGTTGGCAACTTGGTCTCATGGTTTGGGGAGGAAAAATATGCACACAAATAAATCAATTAAACGTGGCAAAATTATTATACCTCAATAAAGCCGAAAAAAGCCACCATTAAGAAAATGAAAAGAGAAACAGCAGACTAAAAGAAAATATTTACAAAACCAAATCTGATAAAGGACTTGTATCCAGCATTTGCAAAGAACTTCTACAACTTAATAACAAAACAATAAAGGAGCAAAATCACTGGTAGTCTAGTGGTTAGGATTAAAAAAGAAAGAAAGAGAGAAGAAGCAAAATATATGAACAGATATTTCTCCAAGGGAGATATACCAATAGCTGATAAACATATGCACAGATGCTTAACATCATTAGTCATTAGGGAAATACAGATTAAAATCACCATGAGGTGTTACTTCACATACACTAGAATGACTAATAATAACAGAAGTTGGCTAGGATGTGGAGAAACAGAACTGCTATGGTTTTAATGTTCCCTGTAAAACCCATGCTGAAATTTAATTGCCATTTGCAGTATTAAGTAGTGGGACCTTTATAAATGACGCAGTCTGTGGTAGTCTATCATAGCAGCAGAAAACAAACTAAGACAAGAACTCTCACACATTGCAGGCGGGAATATAAAGTGGTGCAGCCTCTTCGGAAAACAGTTTGGAGGTTCCTCAAAAAGTTGAACGTAGAATTACCACATGACCCAGCAATTCCACTCCCTAGGTATCTACCCAAGAGAAATGAAAACAGGTACTACACAAAGACCTGTGAGTCACTGTTCCTACAGCATAATCCATAAGAGCCTAACACTGGAAACAACCTAAATATCCATCCACTGATGAATGAATAGGCAAAATAGGCAAATGTGCTCTGTCCATGCACTGGAACAGTATTCAACAACAGAAAGGAGCAAACTGCTGACACATGCTGCCATATGGATGAACTTCAAAGGTGGGAAAGTGAAAGAATCAGACACAAGAAACTGCGTGTTGTATGATTCCACTCACATGAAATGTCCAGAAAGGCAAATTTAGAGAAACAGCAAACAGATTAATGGCCTGGGGCTGAGGTGGGAACACAGTTATCTATAAGTGGGCATCAGAGAGGAGTCTTCCTAGGGGACCATAAGAATGTTACAGAATTGATTTTTAATTTTTTTTTTTTTTTGAGACAGAGTCTTGCTCTGTCCCCAGGGTGGAGTGCAGTGGCACTATCTCGGCTCACTGCAGCCTCTGCCTCCTGGATTCATGTGATTCTCCTGCCTCAGCCTCCGGAGTAGCTGGGACTACAGGCGCATACCACCACGCCCAGCTAATTTTTGTATTTTTAGTAGGGACGGAGTTTCACCATGTTGGCCAGGATGGTCTCGATCTCTTGACCTCATGATCCGCCCACCTAAGTGTCCCAAAGTGCTGGAATTATAGGTGTGAGCCACTGTACCTGGCCGATTTTTAATTAATTTTTTAAGAGATGGGATCTTGCTCTGTTGCCCAGGCTGGAGTACAGTGGTATGATACTGGCTCACTGCAGCCTCAACCTCCCAGCCACAATCAGTCCTCCCACCTTAGCTTCCTGAGTAGCTGGGACTGCAGGCATGAACAACTGTGCTTGGCTAATTTTTTTTCCCATTTATTTATTTTATTGCATTTTAGGTTTTGGGGTACATGTGAAGAACATGCAAGATTGTTGCATAGGTACACACGTGGCAGTGTGATTTGCTGCCTTCCTCCCCATCACCTACATCTGGCATCTCTCCCCTTGCTATCTCTCCCCAACTCCCCACCTCCACCGTCCCTCCCCTATTTCCCCCCAACTGACCCCAGTGTGTAGTGCTCCCCTCCCTGTGTCCATGTGTTCTCATTGTTCAACACCCGCCTATGAGTGAGAACGTGCAGTGTTTGATCTTCTGCTCTTCTGTCAGTTTGCTGAGCATGATGGTTTCCAGGTTCATCCATGTCCCTACAAAGGACACAAACTCATCGTTTTTGATGGCTACATAATATTCCATGGTGTATATGTGCCACATTTTCCTGTCCAATCTGTCATCGATGGGCATTTGGGTTGGTTCCAGGTCTTTGCTATTGTAAACAGTGCTGCAATGAACATTCGTGTGCATGTGTCCAAAAAAAAAAAAAAATTTGTATAATGGGAGCTTGCTTTGTTGCCCAGGCTGGTCTTAAACTCCTGGGCTCAAGCAATTCTCTGGCCTCAGCCTCCCAAGAGGCTGGGATTAAAGGCACAGGCAACTGCCCCTGGGTCTAAAATTGATTTATAGTGATGGTTGCACT